TACTGTTCTCCATAGTGGCTGTATCAATTTTCATTCCCACCAGCAGTGCAAGAGGGTTCCCTTTTCTCCACACCCTCTCCAGCATTTATTGTTTGTAGATTTTTTTATGAAGGCCATTTTGACCAGTGTGAGGTGATACCTCATTGTAGTTTTGAATTGCATTTCTCTAATGATTAGTGATGTTGAGCATTCTCTCAAGTGTTTGTTGGCAATCTGTATATCTTCTTTGGAGAAATGTCTATTTAGCTCTTCTGCCCATTTTTGGATTGGGTTGTTTGTTTTTTTGGTATTGAGCTGCATGAGCTGCTTGTAAATTTTGGAGATGAATCCTTTGTCAGTTGCTTCATTTGCAAATATTTTCTCCCATTCTGAGGGTTGTCTTTTTGTCTTGTTTATGGCTTCCTTTGCTGTGCAAAAGCTTTTAAGTTTCATTGGTCTCATTTGTTTATTTTTGTTTTTATTTCCATTTCTCTAGGTGGGTCCAAAAGGATCTTGCTGTGACGTATGTCATAGAGTGTTCTGCCTGTTTTCCTCTAAGAGTTTTATAGTGTCTGGCCTTACCTTTAGATCTTTAATCCATTTTGAGTTTAAGTATTTTAGTTTTGTTCTGTGGAAAGTACAAAGCATTCCAACAAAAGGCTTTAATGTAGGGTTTTGTTGTTGATGTTCACATGTTTTGACTGCTAAATATAATAGTCTGATCATGATGCTGATATACTGCGTCTTTTAAAAAATATTCAGTGAATGTGGTGAATAGAAAAATAGATATAGCTAAAGAGAGAACTAGTAAAGCAGAAGATAAACCTAAGGAAATTACTCAAAACACTGTCCAAGATATAAAGAAATGGAAAATATGAAAGAAGTTAAGAGACATGGAACGTAGAATGAAAAGGTCCATTATATATCTTATAATAGAAATTCTAGAAAGAAAGAAGAGAGAAAGATGTGCATTTTCCAGAATGGATGATCAATATGCACCTTCAGTTTTAAGAAGCACAAATTCCAAGTAATAAAAACAAAATAAAGGGCTTCCCTGGTGGCACAGTGGTTGAGAGTCCACCTGCTGATGTAGGGGACATGGGTTCGTGCCCTGGTCTGGGAAGATCCCACATGCCACGGAGCAGCTAGGCCCGTGAGCCATGGCCGCTGAGCCTGCGCGTCTGGAGCCTGTGCTCCGCAGCGGGAGAGGCCACAACAGTGAGAGGCCCGTGTACCACAAAAAAATAATAATAATAAATAAATAAATAAACACACATTAAAACCTATTGTAGAGAAAGTGCAGACAGTAGAAGAAAGAGAGAAGATATTAAAAGCTACCAGAGAGGGTTCGTCCCTGGTGGTCCAGTGGTAGGACTTCATGCCCCCAATGCAGGGGGCCTGGGTTTGATCCCTGATTGGGGAACTAGATCCCGAATGCATGCTGCAACCAAGAGTTCGCAATCCGCAACTACGAGTCCACATGCCGCAGCTAAGGAGTCTACATCTCACAACTAAGAAGTCCACATGCTGCAACTAAGAAGCCCACATGCTACAACTATGATGCTGCAACTACAAAGATCCCGCATGCCACAACTAAGACCCAGCACAGCCTAAATAAATAAGTATTTTTTTAAAAAAAGGAATGCAAGAGGAAATGTTGAGCAAAGAAATTTGTATATATGCAATCAAATTGACAATAATGGATATATATATATTTTTTAACATCTTTTTTGGAGTATAATTGCTTTACAATGTAGTGTTAGTTTCTGCTGTACAACAAAGTGAATCAGCTATACATGTACATATATCCCCATATCTCCTCCCTCTTGCATCTCCCTCCCACCCTCCCTATCCCACCCCTCCAGGTGGTAAAAAAGCACCAAGCTGATCTCCCTGTGCTGTGCGGCTGCTTCCCACTAGCTATGTATTTTACACTTGGTAGTCCATGTCACTCTCTCACTTCATCCCTGCTTATCCTTCCCCCTCCCCATGTCCTCAAGTCCATTCTCTACATCTGTGTCTTTATTCCTGTCCTGCCCCTAGGTTCTTCAGGCAGTCTCTAGGTCTACCCACTTCACTACAAATAACTCAATTTCATTTCTTTTTTGGATATATAATTACTAATTTCTGGTAACAAAACAAGGTGAAATAAAATATTGGTAACAATATTAAGATGGAAGGAGAGTGATTAAATATAAGCATTTTAAGTTTTTTTAATATTGAGAAGTTAGAAATATTAATAAACTTTAGACACTGTTAAGTAAGCATGTTAAAATTTTAAAGATAACCATTAAAACAAAAAGTGAATAATTTCCTATTTAGTAAAGAGATAAAAATAATTTTTAAAACTGTTTAGTCAATCTAAAAGGAGAATAAATTTGTAGGTGTTGATGTGGAGAGGACTTAGACTGAAAGCAGGGAAACTGGCTGGGATTCTATTGCTCAAAATAAGCAATAAAAATACCTAGGTATAAAAATAATGACTGTACAGAACTATAAGGAAAAAATCTACAAATCTTTAGTAATGGAAATAAGAGACACTTCGAATGCATGAAGAGATTACCATAGAAAAACGTAATATTGTAAAATGTCAACTGTTTACTAAAATTCATCTACAAAGGTACAACTCTAATACAAGGCCAGCCAAGGATGATTATGATTGTTTCCCTTAGGCAGGCTTTCTCCCTCCTTTCCTTTCCTTGTACCAGTTTCCCTTCTCACTTCTCACTCATGATTCCACCATAGAACATCAGGCATTCAGCAGGTATGCAACAAATAAGTATGCTTTTAAAATAAAGGAATAAAGAAATGAATGATTTAACTGTTCTGCAAGCAAATTCTGATTCATATTCTCAAAAAATTTCCATCAAGCATGGTACACAATACATATCAAGATAATACCCAGGCTTCCCTGGTGGCACAGTGGTTAAGATCCTGCCTGTCAATGTAGGGGACACAGGTTCGAGCCCTAGTCTGGGAAGATCCCACATGGCCTTGGAGCAACTAAGCCCATGCACCACAGCTACTGAGCCTGCACTCTAGAGCCCATGAGCCACAATTACTGAGCCCACGTGCCACAACTACTGAAGCCCACGTGCCCTAGAGCCCGTGCTCTGCAACAAGATAAGCCACCGCAACGAGAAGCTCGCACACCACAAGGAAGAGTAGCCCCCACCCCCCGCAACTAGAGAAAGCCCGCGCACAGCAACAAAGACCCAACGCAGCCATAAATAAATAAATAAATAAATAAATTTATTTATTTAAAAAAAAAAAAGATAATACCCAACTTTGAATCTCTGCATAGGTATGCTCAGCAACCTCTTGAGCAGGACATTTTGTGGGTTGATTACAATTGGAAAATTACTGAAGACGTCTTCCTGAGAGACTCAGATAGATGACAATATTGACTTCTTAGTATTAATCTGACGAAAAATAACCCACACTAATTATAAGAACAGAAAATCATTAAATACTTTCTAAATGCTTCTTTTTTTTTTTTTGCGATATGTGGGCCTCTCACTGTTGTAGCCTCTCTCGTTGCGGAGTACAGGCTCTGGACGTGCAGGCTCAGCGGCCATGGCTCACGGGCCTAGCCGCTCCGCGGCATGTGGGATCTTCCCAGACCGGGGCACGAACCCATGTCCTCTGCATCGGCAGGCAGACTCTCAACCACTGCGCCACCAGGGAAGCACCTAAATGCTTCTTAAAGTCAACAAAGCTCTGATTTCATATAGTAATCTCTATAGCTTCCTATTTATTGTGTAGCTCAGGAGGTGTCTTCAAGTAAATCTTTAGGTGTATAAATATAGTGAAGTACTCATGAAAGGATCAGAAATTCACACTCTGATCAATTTCCTGAAGATGATCAAAAAGATCCCAAATGCATAATAGTCCCTGAGAGCTGGTTGTCTTGAAACACAAAAATATTAACATATTACTAAGAATTGTATTCCCCTATACTCTGTATCCCTACTCTCATTACGAATGAATAACTGGAGCTTGAAAGCTAGTATTACTCATATCTTTACCAGCTTTACACACTGTTCCCCAATCTACTGCTTATTCATCTATGTATCCTAATTAGCAGAAATTCAGGATCTCTCTCGGAGTTCCAACTTCAAATTGTCCAAGAATCCCAGGGGCTCACTAAGCCCATATTGGTCAGTACTTCTAAAACAGCATAACTGGAAGTCTCTTCAGTCTAGGCATCATTGTTTCTGTGACCTTTTCAGGTAAGGTGCCATCACTGAACACTAATCCTGTGGAGCGGCAAGGACTCTAGCTCAAGGATCAGGAGATACCCTTGCTGGGCCAGATCCCTATACAACCGAAAGCTCACACTTGGCTTTCAAGGGTATAGCTCTTTTCATTTTCACTCACATATTCAGCCACTGTCCTCAAAGAGTGACAACACATCTTGGTGTCTAGGTCCAGAGGTTCTTCAGCCTCACCTACATGTTTTGCTGGAACCCTGCTTTGAGCCTGCATCACCTCATAAGGAATTCCCCCTTGGAGTCTTCTCATGCCAGCAGATGCCACACTCTTAAAAACAGATTTCTCTAATTTCAACTCTCAGAACGAAGAGCATGGGGTCTGGCATTCCTTCCTTACCACAAGCCTCTAGGGCTCTTTTTGCAAACTGATAAGCCACAGGAATTTTTAAAAGATTGTTACATCCTCCCTCTAGGGCGAGAGGAGTCTAGTGCCTTCACGTTAGCTTAACTAAGACTGGGTACACAAATGATTCTTCCCATAATGAAATTCTTCTCCAAACTGATTTGTGTCTTCATTTCTATACCTAGTAGTTACAGTACCCAGATACATGAGCTTAAAAAGCTAATCTGGTAATCCCAAACTACTATATATAAAAGAGATAATCAACAGGGCCTACTGTATAGCACAGGGAACTCTACTTAATACTCTGTAATAACCTATCTGGGAAAAAAACCTGAAAAAGAATAGATATATGTATGTGTATAACTAAATCACTTTGCTGTACGCCTGAAACACAACGCTGTAAATCCACTATACTTCAATATAAAATTAAAAAAAAACATACACAATGAAACGACGACAACAAAAAGTTAATCTGTGCCCTCAGCTTTCAGGTAAGGTACAGAGGGTTGGAGCAGGCCACACCTCCTACTGTGACAACTCTGAAAAACTTCCTTCACGTAGCCTCCTTGCCTCCAGGTCACAGCCTCTCTCAACTTGAACTCCTCAGCCCTCTAGGTAGGAATTTTTTATTAAAGTTATAGTTTTTAGGTACAAATGGCCCTTTTTAAACACACACCAACCATCCCTCAAGGGCTCAGGGAAGAGGCAGCAATCTGTTTCAATACTAGAGGAGAAGCTGTGTTGAGCTGTGTGAGCAGAGCTCCACCATCTTCATACGTTTATAAGGGTATTTCAAGGGTAGTTTTGATTATACTGCAGTACCTACCCTCTGGGTGAATTGGGGCTCTACTGGGCTTGGACCACTTAAATGGAGTATGCTGCCCTTCTAAGAACAGCAGTCATACATAGAACCTATCCCTCTCAGAGAGCCCCATGGTACCCACATAAAGCTAGCAAGATGGAGTGGCAGGTTCTTGCTCTTCTAATCTAAGTCCAGTGGAAATTTTAAATATGTTTTCATTGGTTGAGGCTATGAAAATCCAAAATGCCTACTGAGCTGTGTCTCTACTGGCAAGCAGAGATCTTTTCCTTTCTGACTCTTTATCTTGCAAGGTACACACCACCTTCCTTAATGGGGCAAACCAGTTCCAGGTGAGTTTTCTTGTGCTGACAACACTTGAGCCTGAGGTTTGAATTAGTGAAACACTCTGGGGTCAATAGAGAATGCACGTGAGGGAGCATTCAAATAGGAGATAACCACAGATGCTGACTTTAAAAAAAGTACCAGGTCCTGGCCACACCCTCCACCTCACCCCACCTTACCTCCCGGACCTCCACCTCTTACAGGCCCCACCCCATACAGGTCCCACCCTTGGCAAAAAAAAAAAAATATCAGGTCCTTTCGCAGATTAATTAAATCAGACAGTTTAAAATGGGTCCAGGTGCTCGTATTTTTAAAAGCTACCCCAAGTGATTATGATGTGAATACTGAAGTCAGAGAACCACTGCTATCCATTATCCCAATAAATCCTCCCAGCCACAGTGAAATCACTCTGCTAAAGTAAAATGCATGGCAAATAGCGGCAGGTTGAGAGCTAATCCAGCTCCTCACTCTAGTCTGTTCCCTGACTGCACAGTGAGTAGTTACCTCTAATCTCAATGATCAACCTCACTGATGATAACCAGGGTGAGACAGCAAAGCGCTGGGAATCCTCTGCTCTCCATCCTATCGTGGCGTGTTGGAGGAATGGGAAGAGTGCAGGGGGGCAGAGGCCATATTCTAGAAAGAAAAACATTCCAGAATTCACAGAATTTCTATTTCTTAAAGCAGTGTTACTCTTCTGCTAGTTTTCTAGACCCCAAAACTTAAGGATTTTGAGTCCTACTTCTCAAACAATATCTATGTACAGCCATTCCTGTTCATTCTTCCAAAAATCTCTCCTCTCCCTTTTCTTTCTCGCTGCTGCCACCCAAACCAAAATTATCGTAATTAATTCATAATGAGGCTCACTGGCACCAGACTCTTCTCTCTTCCACCAATCTTACTCAATCTTACTCACTCTTTCCAAAGAAATCTCTCTAAAGCATGTTTCCACCATTTCACTGACATTTTCCAAAATTTTCATTGGTTCCATTACCTAAAAGGCCCAAATCCCTTACCCCTCCACAAATGAGGTAAAACTCACCTTTCCAAATGTATCCACCATGCATTTTTTCAGCAAACTTTGCATCCTGTGAAGGGAAGAGCCTTGCAATCAGACAGTCCTGTGTCCAGATCTCCGTTCTGCCCCTCAGGCACAGGGTAAGCGCGGGGAGGTTATTTAACCTGACTACAGCTCTTCCTTTGCCATAGGTGAATAACAATACTGACGTCATAAGGTTGCTGAGAGGATTAATTACTGAATGGGTAAAATGATACAGAGTGGATGCTTGGACGTGGTAGATATTATTACTATTTTGCGTCAACTATATCCCTTACTTGAGCTGTACCTTCGGGGCTGGTTATTAGACCGTTATTTCTCAGCTCCAAACCCACCCTTCTGGCTGGGGTGCATGGCTGAGGCTGCACAGTACATTTCTGCCTTGCCACCTGCCCCTTGGTAAGCTCTTTCAGAAGGAGGAGCTAGAGGGAGGCTGCTCCTGTGTGTTGCATGGTCCCTGTGGGTGTTATTCCAGCCAAAGGTCCTCCTGTAGCAGCAGCTATTTCCAGTTTGCAGGTTTTCCCACACTCTGGAACCAGCCTTGTTGTGACTCTAGGAGACACCAGCCCCATCTGGGCAGGACCCCTGCTTCAGCTCCAGGACGTCTTCTCCAAGTTTCTAATAATCCCACCTTTTCCCTTCATTCTTCTACCCCTATGGGTGGTAGCTGCTTCCTGCACTTCCTGTCTCTGTAATACCTCAGAATTTCCCTTATGTTCTCCAGAACCTGCTTAGGAACTCTCTATATTAAATTGCCTGTTAGTACAACTGGTGTGGTGTGTGTTTCCTGACTGGTGTGGCTGATATCCTTCCCATTACCCCTCTTCCAAGTTGAATATACACCTCACTTCCAGAAGCCTCCATGGCCAGCCCATCCTATGAACTCTTACAGATCCTGAGACTCACCATAGATGAAGAGCTGGGATGACCCTGGAGATAAATTTCTGATATGACTTTCTTGTCTTGCAATCGAAGAAGCTCAGGTTCAAAAGTTAAAGCCAGGACCTCTACCTGGCTCTCTCGCGTGCCTTCCACAACAAGCCGCCCCCTGGACCGTTCACTTCGCACTCAGTCACAGGAGGCCCCGCAGCATCTCCTTCATTACCGCCTTAGTACGTCATTTAACTGAGACTGTTTAACTTAGCTTTAGGTGTCCTTATAAAAGAACCCTCCTGTGTGAGTCACTGGGCACCAAATAGTACTTGGCTCTGTATTACAGACACCGTGTATGTGTGGACACCTAGGGAGAACTCCAAATAAAGTCTGGTGAATGAATCATGTAATTAATACAGAACTTTGAGCATATAGAAAGGATGTCCATATCTCTCATATGTTCTAGATTATAGCTAGCAATGACCAACATCTGAACCCAATAACATCTGAGAAGCATAGTTTTATGGCCTTCACAGATGCTGAAAGGTCTTCTGATCTGTCTGCTCCTTAGATGTGGCAAAACAGAAGCTTTAATAGAATTTTATAAGAATACATATCCTACTCATTAGAAAGTTCATGCAAATTCACAGCACAGTTTTATCAAGTGATGTTTCCTCACTGATGGAATTAAATACTAAAAGTTATAAATAAAGTCTTAAATGGGACAAATATTTTAAAGAGGTAGTCTAGTTTTCAAATTTCCTTCCATAAATTTGGCTGTAATAAAATAACCTCAAATTATCAAAAGGGGAAAGTAAATGCAGCACGAGGAGTGAGTGACCCAGTGAGATTTTTTTCTGGCAATTTCTGGTACAGTGCATGGCCATGACAGCCTGCCATGGGAACACTGTCAAGGACTCAGGGAGTGTGACCTGATTGTTGCCACGGTCCGCACCTACTCTGCATGCTTCCCCTGCAGAGCCTCACCTTCTCTTCCCACAAAGGTAGGCTCTGCCTTGGGATCAGTCTGTAGAAACCAGTCATGTCAACATGTTGGAGTGATGAAAAAGAGGAGGGGCTGAAGGATGGCAAGGAGGCAGGCATCTCTCGTCAAAAAAGGCAACTGAGGATCAATTTGTGAAAACTTAACTTTGGCCTGTGCTTCCTAACCTATTTATATTGATTTAGGAAATTTCATTGGAAATGAATTTGGGGCTCATATTGACCAGATAATTAATTTCTTTCTCTGCTTGTTTTTGCTTTTGAATATTTGCCAACCTTAGAATTTAGAGATAAAATGTCCAGTGGACGAGAAAAGCATTTGGAGACAAGATTCAGTGCAAACATGTATTAAACACACTATGTGCTGGATGCTGGGGGGAGCACCGAATAGCCTACAGCAGTCGTTCCCAAACGATGCTGTACATTAGAATCACCTGGGCAGGGAATTCCCTGGTGGTCCAGTGGCTAAGGCTCTGGGCCCCCAATGCAGGGGGCCCGAGTTCGATCCCTGGTCAGGGAACTAGATCCCACATGCCGCAACTAAAGATCTTGCACACCGCAACAAAGATCCCACAAGCTGCAACTAAGACCCAACACAGCCAAATAAATAAATAAATAGTAAAAAAAAAAAAAAAAGAATCACCTGGGCAACTTAACAAATAAATCAACACATCCCAAGGCCTGGGTTACACACCACATCAGCTCAATCAGAATGTCCGGGTGGACATCAATAACTTTTAAAGATTCCCCAAGGTGATTTCCATGTGCAGTGAAGATTGGGAACAACTGGTCTAAGGGAAAGAGACTGAACTTTGGAATAAACCAGACCCACATTCATGTTCTGATTCTTCCCCTTGCCAGCTGTGTGACCTTAAGAAGAAATGTAACCTCTTTGAGCCTCAGTTTTCCTCCTTGGTAAAGGGAGAGTCCCACACCACTTTGATGAGCTGTGGTAAATATCAGATGAGGTGATAAGAACAAAGAGCACATGTTACTCAGTAAAGGATTGTTAGGAAAGTACTTGTAGCAGAAATAAAAATAACCAGTCATAATTCAAGACAGAGTCAACTAAGTGCTAAAAGTAATGCACGAAGGGAGACAAGAGGAGCAACCGCCAGTCTGTCCAGGGGCTTCACAGAAAAGATGGCCATTGATCTGAGTTTTGACTTATGGGACCATTTGGGTTGGCAGAATGAAGGTAAATATCTTCTTAAACAAAGGAATAGCAAGTGGAGGCATGAGATAAAGAACAGCAGGTTCAGGTAGCATCAAGGAGATACACGGCAGGAGCGAGGGGCACAGAGAGTATGGTAGGAAGCATGCCAGGGATGCCCTGCCAGGGAGTCGGAGCCTTTCTCTGCACACAAGGAGGAATCAGTGCTCTCTCTGAGGTGGAAATGGTCTGATTAAACCTGTGTTGAGAAGAGAGAACTTCGGAGGCAAACAAACCAGGCAGAAGGTAATTGCGATTGATTGAGGGGGGAGGCTTAGGCCCGGAATTGCAGAACGGACACAAAACCGTATGGCCACCTGGCAGTATGAGCTACTGATTAACTGTGGGAATTCATCCACCAGGGTTTCCATGTGCGTGGCTCATTGGTGGTGTCATTTATACAAGATGGGGGATTTTAAGGGTAGAGACACTGAGTTCAGTTTGAGATATGCCAAGTTTGAAGTGAGATGTCCCACTGGCAGTTAGAAATGTAGGTCAGGAGCTCAGAAGAGATGGGGTGGAGTCATGGTGGGTGGGGAGAGTGGCCAACACATGGGTGAAACTGTGCGAGAGAATGAGATGGCCCTGGGAGAGAAGCAAAGCAAGAAGGCCCTCCAGGACAAGATGAGAACTTTGGGAGAGGCCTGCATTTACATAGTGGAAAGGGAAAACAGATCAGAGAGCTTCAAGAAGAATCTGGAGAAAAGAGCGTCTTGAAGGCCCGAGGAGGAGAGTTCCTAGGGCTCTGTGGTCACATCGGAATTAGGAGTTGAGCCGTCATTGTTCCCCTTTGAAAGAGCAGATTCTGTTAGAACAGGGTTTGGAGGGTTGAAGAAGAAATGTGTGAAGGGAAACCAGGGACAGAGTGCTGAGTATCAGCTCTAAAGAAGGGATGGGAAGATACTGAATGGCAGCTTCAGGGAGAAGCAAGATTGAAGAGGGATTGGTTTCTATAAAAATATTTGACCATTCATTTAGGTCAATGAAAAGGAGACCTGAAACAGAGACAGTAGAGAAAGAGAGGAAAATTGATGGGTAATATTCTGGGGGAGAGTCAGAGGCCAGGTGAGAAGGAGAACTTAGACTGGGGAGAAGAAAACAGAGGTCAGGAGTTAATGAGGAATTAATAAAATATTATTAAATGGTATTGAGGGCCCACCTGGGATGAGAGAGAGAGAAAATGAAAGAGACAGAGGGAGAGAGAGACAGAGAGAGAGAGAGAGAGTGAATGATACGCCTGCATGATGAGAGCTTGAGCCACAAGAGCAGGTGATGTGATAAGCAGGATGGACAAGGCGAGTGCAGTGGAGATGGAGGGATGAGGGAAGCTGTGGCGCTGCCCATGCAGGTTTCCGTGGCCAAGCATGGGGTGGGATGCTGGCTGAATCGGGGAGGAAACCTGAAGGGAGCCGGGAGCCTATGAGATTAGTAAGGGTAAAGACAAAGGGTCTTGATGAATCCTAAGGGCAGGCTTACTGGGAGAAACTAAGGGGAAAAAAAATAAGAGCCTAAGAAATTTTCTTCATGGAAGGAAAATTAAGACATCCAGGTTTTGGAAATGAGCCAGTTATAAGAGGATGAGTTTATGATTTGGCTTTGCGAGTGGAGTTCAAAAATCAAAACAAAGTGAGATTATGACTGGGAAAATATTTCCTAACCTATAAAATACGAATCACTTTTTATATATTGTTTTCATTATATTTGGAGTGGATAGGGCAAGGAACTGCAGAGCTGACCTGGTACATGAATTGTCCGTGTGGATACACAGGTTGCCCAGGCTGATGTCAAGGAAAAGGAAGGAGAGGGGAACTTCCTATCTATATTTATTAGGGAACATGTAAAAGTGTCCAGATATCAATGAATGATAGGAAAGAGGATGGTACATCCTTGTCTGGACATGGACCTAAAAGGAAGGATGGTTTGTTTAACAAGGTGTTGCAGAA